CTCTCTCTCTCTCTCTCTCTCTCTCTTCCCCTCTCTGCCTCTCACTGTTTAGAGTGCTTTCAGTTTTAATTGCTTTTATACAAACAGAGTCCAGTAACTAAGTGCGTGTGTTCGTATTATGGTGAGTGGCTGTGGGCGTGGGCGTGGCAGTCGGCGGAATAGTTGAATTGCTAAACATATTGACAGGCAAAATATGTGTGGCATACAAATGGGCGGAGGTTGCCGCTCAGTCGGCCAACGGTGCGTATGAATAATGCCATTGCCAATTGTTTAAACACACACATATCTGTGCCGAGTGCCGCTGTGTAAGTGTGCGTGCGTGTGTGTGTGTGTGTGTGCGAACATTTCACAGTTACACGTGTTAGCATATATAAATACAGTTTCCATCTTTTGCCCAAACCAATTTAGATTTGACATTTTTGTTGGAGCCAGTTGCTCCAGTTTAACAGCCAAGCACAAAGCACATACGCACACACACTTAAACACAAATACATTAGAGCAACATCTAGCCATATTTAAATTACAATTTGTCAGAGAACAATCGCCTGCTATTTCAAATGCAAACATTCAGACTGCATATACGGGCTAAGCCAAGTGCGCTTAGACGAAACATATATATAAATGCTATATTTATAATCAAAATATTTACAAATCCCGAATGACTTCTATTTAGTCAACTGTCCGGCAAAAGGTGCTCCTCCAGTGCACAGACAGACAGTGATACTTAAGGGCATAGATATACATTAGTGCTCTACTATCCAGTGACCCATCTGCCTGTGATGATCTAGCTGATCTTGGCTTGAAGTTTTTTGAGATTTGACAGATTTTCGCTTTAATTGGGAAACAGTTCATGCAGCAGCGAGGCATTCATTTGATTTCATTTAAAATTGTATGTCAAAATACTGTGAAAGTCCTAGATAAAGCTGAGTGTGTCCTATATTAATAATATAATATAAGAATAAAATGAAATTAAAAAAAAAAGATAGACTTATAAATACAGTGTCTAACATTAACACTCTTTTTTTTTACCAACTTCAAACGCAAATAAAACATGTAATATTAGTTGAAATTAATAAAGGCTTCTCTTTCTGTGTGTCTTAGCAGCATTTGTGTCGCTGCTACTTAGACACTGATTACTGATAAATAGAAACATATATACATTTCTAACAGCGGCTTTTAATGCTTAAATTTGTTGTCATAATTTCGCTTTTTTTTCGGCACGTCGTAATATCCGGTGAATGACTCAAAAATATGAAAAAAATCGTCGGGATAAGCGGATTGTCGTTAAAAACGGAGACGCACTAAGCGGAGGCTCCTTTATATAAGTTTGTATGGGGACCAACCAAGACATCGACGCTTTAAGCGGAGTCGTTATAACCGGATTCCACTGTATATAAGCCGAAAAAAAATGTGTTCATATATAAAGAGTTATGAAAGTGACTTTGTTTTTTGGCTTGTTGCTATATCAAATATAAATAATAAAATAAAAGGAAAAACAAAAGTAATAGAAATTTGTATACATATAATATGTAAAAGCAAGACAATAAAAAAGTGGCTCTTGACACTTTTTTTAGTCATTTAATACATATATTAAATAAATATTTATTTAAAGCCTAATAGCGATTGCTCGGGGTTTGAGAGATAGACTCAGAGAGAGAAAGAGAGAGAGAGAGGGAGGGAGAGCGAAAGAGAGAGAGAGAGAGAATGTGGTTCGATTACAAGGTATAAAGTGAGTGTCTAAACTCTATAACTAATTCTTTCCCTAAGCTATAATATTCAGTGTTTATTATCTTAAAAGGCCTTTAAAGTTACATTAAACAATTATTGTTTAGATTAAGTTGTCTAACAGATACAGGCGAGTCTCGATCATTTTTACATCGCTAAATTGAAAATCACAATAAATCGAAAAATTTTATACAATTGAAAAGATTCGTTCTCGATAATTTGAATTTCTGTGTAAATCGAAAAAAAATAAAATAAATAAAACAGATCCCCTCGTCGTTTCGAATTATCGGGACTTTACTGTATTTCAGTAGATATGCACGAATGTTTAGTCAAAAGTTCAATAGAGTCTTCAGCTTCAATGAATAGAAAGCGACGTTGATTGAGCTCAGTTTGGTGTATGGAAATTATTCCCAAATAAATGATTATAAATAAAAATAATAAATGTATAAATGATTTATTATGAACATAATTCATATTTAATATTTACTATTTTTGAATACATTTTCAGAGTTATTAAGTTTAAATGTAATTTAATTTGTCCACCTGCGCAATTAGCTGCAGCAGATTGCTGTTGCATTTACCTTTTACACTTTCACTTGGCGCTTCTCAAGTATTGAGTGGGGGGTATGAGGGAGTGCAGGTATTTCACAGAATTCAACAGTTTGTCTCGGCGATCCACTTACCATTCACATAGGCAGAGAAATCCAAGCGCTGCTGCTGCTGCAGCTGCTGCTGCACATTGGTTGCTGCAGCAGAGCGCTCATTGGTGTCGGACTCCTCCTCCCTGCTGGCGTCACGTTTCATCAGTGTGAGTGACGGCGCCGCTGAGTGGATATGACGATGGCCGCTGGCGGCGTTCGCGGCAACGGAAATCGCATCATTTCCGTTCGCCTTGTCGGGCTGAGCTGGGCCCGCGAATAAAGCCAGCTGCAGCAGCAGCAACAGCAGCGCCGCCGACGGCGCGGGCAGCGGGGCGAGCAGCGGCGTCCGCCGTTTGGGCATTGTGCGAGCGGGCATGGTGCAACCGCTGCCACTTCCGTCTTCTGGCTGCCGGCTCTGAGTTGAGTTGAGCTGAGCTGAGTTGAGTTGAGTTGAGTTGAGTTCTTTAAGTAATTGCAGGATAAGTGCAAGGAGCGCAGCGGCAAGCGGAAGCGGAAATAACGCGGTAGCAGCCAAGAGCGGCGATGACTGCGATTTAATGTATGTTGTTGCTTTTGTTATTGGTATCGCTGTTATTGGGCTCGTATTATTGTCAAACACACACAGGCACACACGAGCGCACGCACACGCACACGCACACTCGCTTACACACACTCACGCACTCGCGCACTCACTGTACTTGGCTTTGGAATCCCCGAGCGGCCATCAGGCGAAAACTTCGACCACAACAAACGGCGCAAACAAAAACAAAGAACCAAAAAAAAAAAAAAAAAAAATATTCGGAATTCGGAATTCACAAAGAACGTTCTCAAGCACTTAATATGCTTGTGGATATAGATATGTGTGTATGTGTGTGTGTGTGTGTGGACACAGTGCTAAGCAGACTGCCGACGGTGGGCCAAAATCCAAATCAAAACTGCGGATCGCAATCGACGCGTTTCGCACGCCGGCGTTAACGGCCAAATTTGAGCACTTTCAGCGGTTCACAATAGCAGACGCGACGTGTTGTTGCGCGGCCAACGTGCGAGGCGCTATTGAGCCAGCCAACGTGCTGGCCGTACGCAGCAAGCCAAGCCAAGCCAAGCCAAGCCAAGCGAAGCGAAGGCAAGCGAAGGCAAGCCAAGGATTCGCCACATCGCACGAGTCGCCATGCCGCTTCGGGCGGGCAGCCGAACGAACGGCAGCCGTTTAGTGAATGGAAGCGTGCTCGGCGGGCTGCTGGCCCGTTCGGCGCCTGCGCCTGCAACAATTCAAGCCACTCAACGTCAGCAGACAATCCGATATGGATATCAGCGGCGCTGCGAACGCCGAGCAAATGTCCAGCCAGGCATCGATGTGGATGTGGATGTGGATGTGGATGTGCATGTAGATGTGGATGTGACGACGTTGTAGTTCATTTGCTTGCTACGTGCTGAATTCGTCAGCGAAGCGCTGCAGCCGTTTGGCCATTTGGCCATTTGGCCATTTGGCCATTTGGCCATTTCACTGACCTTTTTACGCGACCCAACCGCAACAGTTAACGGCTAACAGTTGCCATCTGCCAACTCCAACTGCACAGCACTCATCGACTGCCATCGATGCGGGCAGTTAGCGTTTTTAGCGTTTTAGCCAATTATCGGCCAACTGCCTCGGCTGGCAATTAAAATATTTGCAATTGCTTTTCGCCGCTAATTTGATTAGTCATTCCTGGCTTTCAAGCTACTCTCTGTGCAGCTGTGTGCGCGTTCACGCTCCAATTGGATGTCTCCTGGCAGCGAGAGCGCTAGCTGTCGCGCTTTCTCTGTTCACGCATCGTCGCACATAATCAACAAATCAACACGCCGCAAATATCCGTAAATATGTTGAGCAAACATTTGCCGCCAAAAATTGACAATTTTCGAGAAAAAGGGCGCCCACACACAGCGGCGCCCAATGTCAATACAGTCAGCCACACACACACACACACACACACACATACATATCCATGAGTATATCCATATATATGCCTATTTACTGCAGCTGACATTCGCATATGCTTGACTATCTAATGCGGCCACAGCGCTGAGTAGTTCAATATATTAAGAACTGCGCGTACGTGAAGATGGCTCAGTTATGTGCCATAGATACAAAAGTATCTGCCGCAAGCAAAGTATCTAAGAGCACGACATATACATATATATATGGCCTATAGGCCAGTCAGTGACCAAGCAGCTGAAGCCAGCAGCACTCGGACTCCAAATCAAGCCAATTCAATAAATAATGAGCTGCAAAATTGAAATCAGCGAAAATCAACATCTGTTTGTGCTTAATGGAGCCTGAGCATTGCATTAAGCTAATCATTTAATTGCCTTGAGAAACTCGGTGTGAAAACTCACTGCGAAAATGCAATTAGCGATTAGCTAAGTTAACTGTTTAGCTAGTTACAGCAACTGAACGAGCTGGACTGAGTTGGAGGAGTTTACAGACTTGCAGCAAATCATTTTGATAAGTATTCATTGAGTTCTGAATATGTTGGACAAAATTTATATTTATATATTTTTTTCTCTATTATT